GTTATTGATGTGTTATTGTGTTATTATAAAAAAAGTTTGTTAGCAAATAAGAAAATGAATGTCACCATATTAAGACATTAGGATAAAATGAAAATAGTATTGAAGTTTCACCTGCTTTTTCTTCTTGGGTCGTCTTTTACGACGAGGCTTACGAACATCAGAATTTGAACTCAGATTGCTTGTTTGGTCAGCATTTAACAATCTCTGACCTCTAGAGACGATTCTGCTCCTCCTCGGGGGAGCACTTCTGAATGTTGACAAATAACACATGAATAACACAGGGGAGAATATTCCCCGTGTTACTGCGCCGTTTTTTTTTTCTGTGTCGCGCGGGGTATCGTGGCGTGATTTCATTGGCTACGCACGTTACTCTACGTGCGTAGTACTGATGTAATATTTTTTCTTCGCCCTACAGCTTCGTCGGCGCCTGTGCTTCGGTTTCTTGTTTTCTGCGGTTACCATTCAACATTACAACGGTTTTGCTTCGGCTACGGCTATCCTTTATGTTATTGAAGTGTTATTGTTATGTTATTATTTTTTTATTGTGTGTTATTATTGTGTTATTATGTGTTATTGTTGTGTTATTTCGGTATTGTTGTGTTATAACTCTACTAACATTGCAATAGTATCAATCACACATGTATAACATGCAATAATACAACAATAACACATAACACAGCTATAAACATTTATAACACGCGGTATAACACACAGGGAATATTCCCCACGTGTTATAATACGAGCTAGGGGAGTGTTATAAGGCGGCAATATAACATGTGGGGAGTGTCATCGAGCGGCGGTAATGAGTTATTGGGCGAATTTAACCTATTTTTTTCTTTTAAAATAAATGTGTTATAACATTAATTAATATTTAAATATTTAAAATCAATGATTTTAGTGTGTTATTACCTATATTTACATGTTAATATAAATTTTACAGTTATTATATAAATAATATATATTTAAATAATTTAATAATATAAAAATTGTGAATTAATTAAATAAATAATATACATGTTATATTTAATTAATTTAAATCAGTTATTATATTAAAAATTTTGATGTACTATTTACTTATACATATAATTAAGTTATAAATATATGTATTAAATAGCATGTAATGAATAGTTAATAACAGTATAATATGATAAATTTTAACATCATTATTTTACATTTATATTATCATTATTTTAATAACTAAATAATATATCTATAATTATTTATTCATATAATTATAGTTTTATTTTAATAACTAATGTTATTTTAAAGATTATAACAAGTTGATTTTAAACATAACGAGGCTAAAATCGCCTATAACACGTGATTTTTGAAAAATAACATGTTAAATTCATGGCATAACACAAGGAGAATATTCCGCTAGACCACGCGCTAGAACACTGTGAATATTTTCAACGTGTTATAGGGAAGTTGAATGATACGTGAAGCGACGTTATAACCCACAATATAACACGTAAGAAACATTCACCATGGGTCATACCGCGGGCTAGGGGAGTGTTATAGGACGGTTGTGTAATGCTTGGGGCAACGTTGTAACTCGCGGTATAACACGTAAGAAATATTCTCCACGCGTTATATCGCAGGCTAGGGAAGTGTTATAGGGCAGTTGTATCACACGTGGGGCGGTATTATAACATGCTGTATAACACGTAGGAATATTCTCCACGTATTATGCTGCGAGCTAAGGGAGTGTTATAAGGCAGTTGTATAACACTTGGGTCTGCAGAGTGTTATAGGGCAGTTGTATAACATGTGAGGTAGCATTATAACTCGCGGCATAACACACATAAAATATTTCCCCCGTGTTATGTCGCGGGCTAGGGGAGTGTTATAGGGCGGCTGTATAACACGTGGAGCGGCGTTATAACATGCAGAACCCTGCACAAAGAAAACCTAAATCGATGAAATTCGATTTTCTGGATTTGCGCAAAAAAAAAAATGTGAAAAGACTTTTAGTGGGATTAGCTTTGGACAAAAAGTCACCTTTTCGCTTATTGAGCTGGAGTCAAGTTTCCGTCGGGTTGGATCGCATGCTCTAATTCGTTTATTTTACCTCGTGCTTCTGATGGGACCTAAAGTTCCACATGGCGAATGTGGACTGAACTCCGCTTGCAACTCTACGTGCAGAGTCCGGATGTAATAAACGCTCTAATTTTGAGGGATTTTTAAACACTCAGCACTCAAAAAACTATTATGTATATATATATATATATATATATATATATATATATATATGAATGTAGTTATCTACTACAATTTTAAGTATGGAGACCCTGTTATATGGCTTAAGATATAATCATGTTATGTAAACCATTTTAAAACTTGCCTGAAGGTCATGCATCAAATTAAAAGTGTCAATTTTAAAGTTCTAAATATTTTTATTACTAAATTTTTCATTATTTTGAATGTTTTATTAGGATGCTATAGCAAATTTAGAATTTCAAATCCTAAAGCAACTAAATTACATCGATAGATTCCCAGACAAGGCACATGAAAAAAGGCGAAACAATCAAGTACCCAATCATGCAAGAAAGACAATAACAACAAGCCAAATAAAATAAGAAAAGCTAGTGTCGCTGGATCAACAACACATCCCAAAAAAGAAAAAAAACTGTCAAACTTCGCATACATGCCCCACCCTAATTCTACACATCAATATTAAATGCATAATTAAGAAACAAGGCACGAGTTGTTGCTCGTGGTTCCCTACCACTTGGTTTCTGAGCCAAAATGCCTCGAAACCCATGACCATATCTTATTTGCACTACGTGACTCTCCCGAGGAATATAAAAAGTACATAGAAAAATAGAAAAAAAATGACTCAACCTGCACGAAAATATGTTAACACAAAAATCTATCTACATGCAATGTGTTCGAGTCATGTATGGCAAGGGAGCTAAGCAGCACCTGCAAGCAAAAAATAGCATATAAATCATATATTTGACATGACTTCTATGAAAATGGGCACCTGAAACATTGCTAACAACAAATTAAGCACCCTATTTCAGCCATTTCTCAAACTCTCACTCAAACATCAAAGATAAAGATGAAACCCCATTCAATATTTTTCATTTTTATGATACCACATACAAGGGCACCCAAAACATTGCTAACAACAAATCAAGCTCCCTCTTTTCCCTCTTTCAGTCATTTCTTGCTAACAACAAATCAAGCTCCCTCTTTCAGTCATTTCTCAAACTCTCACTCAAACATCAAAGGTAAAAATAAAGCCTCATTCCATATTTTTCATTTTAAAGATATCTTGTACAGGGCACACGAAACATTGCCAACAACAAATTAAGCACCCTCTTTCAACCATTTCACAAACTCTCACACAAACATCAATGGTAAGGATAAAACCCCATTTCATGTTTTTCATTTTTAGGATATCACATTCATGGCACCTGAAACATTGCTTGAACAAATCAAGAACCCAATACAAAACATACACCACACTTAAAACATTGTTGTTAACAAATCCACACTATATAACTTCCATTTCTCTAATTCTAACTCAAAACATAAAAATTCTTGATAAAATCCCAATCCATATTCATAAAATACACAGCATCTGAAACATTGCTATTCCAAAATCCAACACCAACTTGTATGCATTTCTCAAATTCTCGCTCAAATATCAAAACCATATTGGGTAGAACAAAATATAAACCATCATTTGAGGTGATAGACATGTAATTATACCAATAAAACCAAAACAAACATAGCAAATCCACAAACCGAACTGACCAAAACCAACTGAAATTGCAAAGCACAAAGCTTCAAAATCATAAACCAAATCCATCATGGATGCAACAAGAAACATCAAAATCATTAACCGAACATATCAAACCTAAAATCACCAAACCGAGCAAATAGAGAAATCAGAGAGATGAACCCAACAACCAAACAGAGAACTATTGCACAATAGCATTTGTACTATCACAAAATCACTGAATGGATAAGACAAAAATTTCTGTAG